AATGACATAAATTTTTCCCTCGTGACAACAAGGAAGCATAAGTTTCTGAGGAAAAAAAACCCAAGAATCTATATATTCTCCTTCAACAAGGGTAAAAGCAACTGGAAGAATGTTGCTATTACCATCTTGGATAACTACCAATAGTAAAACTTGTTTGCATTTTCCATACAAGAATGTCTCATTAATTTGGACCACGAGCTTGCAGTATTTCACATTATTAAAGCACTGTGGGTAAGTCCAAAAAAATCGATATAATTAACATCGATCACGAAGCACTCGATCATTTTGGTTTGCATGGCAAGTTTCGAAGCCGACAATTATCCCAGGATCAATCTGCACCCTATCCTAAACCAACTTGGTAGTTCATTGTAAGATGCATCTCACTCGTTGTGAAGTTTTTAATGGTATTCTGCTTTGCCTTCCATGCTTTTCTGTATGAGACGGTGTACCCATATTGCGACTATATAACTGAAATAAACACCGCAATAATTACATGGGAGCTTGCTTTGACTATGAGCATGATGACTTGGCAGATAATATCGGAGTCCAAGTTGGGATGATCCTGGTTGATCCCTTCAATAAAACATGTGTGAGGACCATTGTATACTATTAGTTCCCATATATTGTTTTTCCTTTTCCTCTTCGATACAGAACCATTCAGTTACATCCGTTATCACATTAAACACAGTGGCAGACATACTTTTCGGTGGTGGAACGGTCGACTCTGGATTGAACATAATTGCAATGTTGTAATTCTTAATTGCCATCATCGTTTCTTCTTTGGATGTAAACTCCATTCTTTTATATAACTCACCATTATTGAATAATGAATTAAATATGTAGTCACCCACATTAGGCATATCCGCAAATTCTGGCCCGTACATTGTACCATAGTCAGCTTCATACATGTGTGCTGGAGGTTCGGTGTGTACCATATTTGTGAGAACTTCATCTACATCATCATCATCGGAGTCCATGTTGAACTGCGGTGATTATGGTTGAATGAATAGTCCAGTCTCAGCATCATCCGCACCTGGCTCACGAAGAGGTTCTTCTGGTGGAGATGAGGGTTCTTCTATGATGTCGATATTTAGGTCGAACAAGCTGGTAGTTGAATGCCTTCCCCTTGAACTTGAATGCATCTTGAAATTGAGGTCAAAGAAACTCGTAGTTGAATGTCTCCCCTGGAACTCGAAGGCATCATGTTAAATGGGTATACACAGATTGTTGCGTCGAGGGCATTTATATATTCAAGTCAAAGAAATTGGCAGATGAATGCCTTCCCCTGAACTGGAAGTAATGTTACCATACAGATTATTTGTGGAGCCACCTTGGTACATATAGTAACAAGTTTCTGATGAATGTCTCCCCATTGAACTTGATGGGATGACACCATGATGTGAATTTCTCATTAACGAGTTAAAATCATTACACATTACTTGAGTTGGGATGTCAACTCGATCAGTTTGTTGAGTCAACCTATAGTGGGAGCATAGTGACATACCACGAACCGCATACACTTCAAAAATATCGCATACATTTGTGAATCGGCGTCTGAATATTAATTCTGAGAATCAATCATCATAGCAACATCGTCATCGTTGGAGAGTTTGAACATTGTATAAGTTAACAGAAATACTGCGGTTGGAAATCTGTTCTGAAGTAAGAACAAATTTTTATTACTTTCAACATAAACCTTCATTGAAATTTGAGTGATCAACTCCTCAAGAGTGATGTTTCTCTAAGGATATTCTGACAGAATGATTTGATGTGAAGATAACATCAGTTTCATCTTCCCGAATTTCTCCATCATAGTAAACAATAGCTGAAATACGCGTCATTTTGAGAGTTTGAAAGATGGAGATTCTTATATTTTCAAAAAAAAAAACAATAGCTGAAATATGACTAATTAAATAAATGATATATGAATTAAAATATAAACTAATCAAAAAAATCACAATAATTTACATAACACAATTTCATATTATTACAGTATAGGCAAAATGTCTCGAGGTATGATATCGCCTTCCAATTTTACAACCGCAAAAAATAATACAAAATAATTAGTACAATAAAATTTGTTCAAATAATTAAATATAAAATAATATAATATAATAAAAAAATAGTTTTACCTTATAAAAACAATAACAAAATCTGTTTAGCTTGATAGAAGGAATTGATAGAAGTGAGAATAAGCAAGTAATTTTGGTGTGGTGATGTTTGCATTTAGGGGGTTATTTATAGGGGAGGTGGATCGTTAAAAAGCTGAGTTTTCAAGATCGAGTAATAATAGAGTACCCAATAATTAAACGTTCATAATATACGCCCTCCGTACATGGCAGATGTTCAGCGAAAGCATGGGTGACGCCAGCTCGGACAGAACCCTGTGAAGGTGTGGTCGTCAATCCACTCTTTATTGCCACTGTGTCAGAAATGGTGCTAGATCTATAATATTAAGGGAGATAATGCCTAACAGGTTATTATTGAGTCTAATGGTGATTTCTCGGTACAAATGCCATAATAAATTTAAATTTTTTATCATTTAGGTATCCCACGAATAAAATGATAATACGAGACTGCACTCACTTTAAAAATGAGCAAGAATCAATTCATCTTTCAAAAAGATCATAAAAGTAGAATTTAGTTCATGTCAATGAGTCTTCAACAAGGTATTCATAATTTGGATTGATTTCACCTCACTCAATTTTCTTTTTCAAATTTTGAAAATTTATTTTTTATTCAAACTTAAATGTAAATATAATGAATGTTGATTTTTATTTATTTATTTTATCAATTTGGTATTACAAGACATCAATTAAGTTTGAAAATAATATATATATATATATATATATATAATCACCAAATTTTCCATTTATTTATATTTATTTTTAATTACAAAAAGGTCAAAAAAGAAGAAAAATAATAAAAATGGGGAGCATAATCCCTTAATATCTATATAATACCAACAAAAAGCAAACTTGAAAATAATCGAGAATGTTTTGATAAAAATAAAAATAATAAAAATAAAATCATCATTTTGTTTAAATAATGTTGTTTATTTTATTTTATTTATATTCGGCTCGTATTTAATAGGAGGTTTTAACAAATAACTCAAAATAAATTGATTGGTTTTTAATAAAAATATTTTATTTTAAATTTCGACCAGAATCTACAAATGTCACTGTTACAACAACATGTAAGCGATCATGTACCAATTTTTAGACGATGTGTAATGCTAATCATTCCCCACATATAATCGACTCCCGAGCCTTAAAAAAAGAATCTTTGGTTAATGCAGACTCATTTTGTCTTTTAAAATGATTTTCTTAAAATTGTTTTAAATGACATATTTAGATATTCAATTTACCTAACCCAAAAATCAATGAAACTCTAATTTTTTTTTTTGAAATTGAATCAATTTCGAAAACATTCATCATTTCATAAAATTCGATACTATTTTATATTGTGAAAAAGGTGTCCACAACATATCTGTTAATTTCTGTAATTGTTCACCTCATCATTATATTCATTATTTTCATTTAATCCTTTTATCTATTGTCATTTGAATTTTTCTCTTTTATTTAAATAAATAAATTGTCAACACAATTTGTAATTTTTTAGACAAGTTTAAAAATTTTCTTCTAAAAATTTAGTAGTTTCTTTCAATGATAGAAAGATACAAGATTAATTTTGATTTATTTTATTGAAGTGATGTTACTACCAATTAATAGTTATTGTTGTATCTAGGGAAATAAACGTCTTAAAGAGGATATTGTCTTAAAGAGATTTTTTTATACAAACCTCAACAAATTTGATTCGTATTATTTTATAACTTCTGAGTTATCTCTACAATTGCCACGTCCTCCAAATACCTCTGAAAGATTTTTTGTACAATCGAATTGTTACTCAAATTAAGTTTCAACTTTCTAAAATATTTGTCACTCAAGCAAATTTCTATTTAAAATTAATATCATACATATAATAATATATTTACCTTCATTTAAGTGATTATTGTATTGTTTCTAATAAAATTTGATGAGGTTAGAAAGAGCTTAGCTAAGAAAGAGTGAAGTATATAAATGATAAAGCTAAGAGATAAAAAAATAACTTATATAATCTGCCCTAATTTCAACATTACACAAGCACCGGTATATATACAATTCAAGTTACCGTATCAAAAATATACAGTCCGCTGTAAAATTTTAAGTAGGAATTTAAACTCGAGACATACTTGAATGATATTATAAAAATTATCATTTGAAATAATGAATTCTAATGAATTTGTTAATTAAATTTGTATAAGATTAAACTTATTGTATTTATATAATATTCACCCATCTAATTGATATTTTGTTGAATTTTTTTCTCTTAATATTATAATTATATTTTATTTAAAATCTATAAAATAAATTGATATAAAGTTGTTAAAATATATCATATTCTTCTTTAGAAATTACTTTTTTTTTCAAGTTTAAGTTTTTATTTAAAAAAATTAAGAATAATTATATTTTTTTAAAATATAATTATAAAAAAATAATTTAATTTTTTTCTTTTTATAGAACTTTATGATATTCTTTTTTCAGTTTTATTTATTTTTATATTTATAATATTTTACAATGTTTTATTATGTCACATTATTTATAAAAATAGGAAAACTTAAGGATAAATATGATAATAGAATAAAAATAGAAAGATTAAATAAACAAAAATAATAGAATGATAACGAGTAAGATTTCATCGCAATATATAATAATTACTAATTAATTGATTAAGTTTCAACTAACCTTAGACCGAGAGAAGTAAACGACACGTAAAGAGAGTTCAAACAAAAACGCCAAAAAATATTAAAACATAATTAATTAAATAGCATCCAAAAATGAAAATGAAAATAATTTAATCGTTAGACTTATTTTCATTTACGGGCAGCCCGAACTCAGCGTTCTTTCTGCACGATGAGTCGATGAGTAGGCTGCCCGATTCCGAACTGGGAAAAATGACGGGCAGTTCTCTCTCTTTCTCTTCTTCCCTTTTGCCCCTGCTATATCTTTGCTTCCCTCTCCATGTCTCCTTGATCAATATCCGACGGTCCAGAATGAAAGCTTATCCTTTCGTTTGTTTCCTTTGCTTTTAGTGCTGCAAATCTTCAGATCTACTTTCGCTTCCCACCTACGCTTATCCTTTTGCTCTCTTCCTTTGCTTTTAGCTCCGCAAATCCTCAGATCTACTCTTTCACCCACCTGATTTCCGTTTCTCGGTACGTCTCTTTACTCGTGTCTTCTCTTTTCGAATTTCAGAAAGTTTTGAATCTCTCTAATCTTTAATTAATTTTAGTTTGGCTTTTTTTAAAAAAAAGCTTTTTAAAAAAGCTTATTTTTTACGAAAATCAACTTTCCGCCGGGACGAGTCTGGCTCGTAATTGAAGGTTCTTTGTTCTGTTTTTTTTTCTTCTTTTCTTTTTGGTTCGAATTTGTTGGATTTTTTTTCTTATAAAAAAATTTCGTTTTTCGTATAGTTTCCGTTATTTTTTGTTCTGATTCTTTTTCGTTATAAGAGAAATATTTATTTATTTTAAAAAATCATAATATTTTAAAATTTCGTTATGTTTTATTGCTAGGCCCTACTATATCTGTAGGAATGAAGTGATAGATCAAACGGCTGATATAGCTTCAGCTTAGAACTAAAGGTGGAGATTCATTTTTTGTGCAGGCTGCTTTTAGATTTATCGTTGGCTGTAGTGAAACTGAGAAGTTGACCTCAGTTCAATGGAGGTTACGGTTAGTCACGTCGCGCTAACATGCGCCGGTGAAACTCTAGCTAACATGCTCTTTTCGGCTCTTGCCAAAACCCACCTTTTAGCTCTGGTAACTTAGCTTTGCTTTTATTTATTAATTTATTTTTATCGCCTGCCATGGTCAGAGACCATGCGCTATAATTTTATGCTTTTTTTTTTGCTACGGGTTGTCTTTTTTTCCCTTAGTATCACAGCTAAAATGAGCCGTTGTAGGGTTTTAATGTTTAGGAACCCCTAATTCTCTTTACTAAATATATATTTTATATTTTAAAAAACTGACGATCTATTTTTAAGCAAATATCAAATATATATATTTTTAAAAATATATTTTCCGTTCTTTTTCTTGCTATAAGTATCTGATTCCACCACCACCACCACATAAGGATTTGCTTTTATCTTTTGTTTTTCGCATTAGATTCCTGCTAAGATGCGCCGTTGTGGTTGGGGACCGTGATTTTGTGACGTCAGATGATTTTGGGATCTCATTTTAATAGGATATAACCCGATTTTATTTTTGATAAAATAAAAATGAATGAATTATATTATCTTTTTAAAAAAACATATTTTAATTATTTTTCTTTACATGGATCCTTTTATATACAGAATTAATTTTTTATCTTTTATTTTGCTAGCTTTCGCTTTTAGATGGGAAATAGAGAACATTACCCGTAGTTGTTGGGTTCGTCGCATGTGAAACTTCAATTAAATTATTTCGGTTCACTTTTAAAATACTTTTTTTATTTTGATTCGTAATACGTTAAATACTTTGTTTCATTAAGATTTATAAAATATATTTAAAATTACTTCAATCAAAGTTTTTGAAATTTTTATAAATAATGAATGTAAAACAGCAAAAACGTCAAGTTTAAAGAAAATATCTGTCGCTATAGTCTTTGTCAAAATTGTCTTATTTTCTAAAATACGAACAGTCAAATTTCCTTGTTATGGAACCGAATATTCCTAGGATACTATCCTTGTCAATTCATAGGTACACGTCACATTTTTTATTAATATATATTTTACATTTGATTATTGGGCCCAAAACGTGGGATGGGAGGTAACCCTCTATCCACTATGCCCCTACAAGGACTTCTTGTTTAATATTTCTGAATTTTATATATTTGTTTTTCATTTGATATTTTAATTATATATTGTATGAAAAATATCGCAACAACTTTAAAGTTAGAAAATCAATTTACGTTTTCTCTCCTTGAGGTTTTTGAAAAGTGATTTTTAAAAGTAGGGTAAAAAGGAATTTTTAAAAATGATTTTTAAGAGTATAATTAAAATTTAACTATTTAATATTATTGTTAAAAAGTGAGTTTGAAAACATAAAATATCCATTATAGATATTATGTTATAAATTAAAAATATAAAATTTAAATTATATTTACACTTATTAATATTATGATATATAAAAGATATCACTTAAATTATAATAAAAATATAAAAATATTTTAAGATAACTCATTTATAATATTTTTATAAGTGAAATGTTTTATTAAAAAATATATTATCAATACTTTTTAACATGTGGATTTAAAATATTTATTAATATTTCAATGTATAAACCATGAATTTTATTTACTTTTAAATAATTAAAATAAATTATTAAGTAATAAATTTTTTTAAGGAGGTTAATATTAAATAATTAAAATAAAATATAAATACATGATTGAGTGAAATCCATGTATTAAGGGCAAAATTATAATTTGTTCTCAAAATCAAAGTTAAAAATGAAAAAGCTACAAATTCTAGTTTTTGCGGTTGGTTTGAAACCACTGTTTCTACCGTATTTTTTATTTTATATTGTATTCAGTTGGCATTGATTTTGCTGTTAAAATAAACATTTTATCTAAAAGTGCGTTTAAAAAGCCACGCCAAACGAGCCTTATTGTGCTAAGGTTAAAACGGTAATATACATTTTGAATAAAATTAGGGTAAATTACATAATTAATAACTGAACTTTCTTATCACTCTTAGTTTGGTAATTGTACTTTAAAAAATTTTAATTTAATAACTAAATTTTCGTTAAAAAATTTAGTTATTAAATTGAGAATTTTTAAAATACAATTACCAAAATAGGAGTGAGAAGAAAGTTCATATTTAATTACGTAATTTACCCTCAGCTATGCTAATTATTTTGTAAAAAAAAGCAGAGTATGCACTTATAAATCAAAGCACAGGTTTTCATTAATCTTAAGTGATAATTATTTTGTAACTAAGACACTTAGCTATGCTTTTATGTACTATTTGTTTTATTGGTTAACATGTTTTTCATAGTTATAATTGATAGTGTAGCTTCTGGTTAAACCGTGCTGTGAATACAAATTATTTCTTTTGGATTGGTTTCAGAACTCCTTTTCATTGATGTTGGCTAACAAACCCGGAATTGAGAGCGACCAATCGCAAAACCCGCCTGAGCCGAAGGATGCTGACGGGGAAGATGATGATGATAACAATGACAGCGACAATAGGGGCGACGAGTTTGGAGATGGTGAAGAGGAGCTGTCCTCGGAAGGCGGGGAATATGGCAACAACGGTAACAGTAACAAGAACAACCCGAAGAAGGGACCGGGAGGTGGCGCAGGTGGGGCAGAACAGAATGGAGAAGATGGAGACAATGATGATGAAGAAGATGGTGACGACCCAGAGGATGGAGATGACGATGAGGATGACGATGACGATGATGACGATGATGATGGAGGTGAAGAGGATGTCGGAGTGGAAAACGAAGATGAGGAAGAGGGAGAAGAAGATGAAGACGAGGAAGCTCTTCAGCCACCTAAGAAAAGGAAGAAGTAAATTGTTAGTAGAAAAGTTGAAGCCTCCATTTTAGGTAAACTTGTTCATCCAACATTATGATCTTTTTATTTAGGCATGAAGGAGGCCGTTTATCACTTTCATTTCCTTTGCATAATTAGAGTACCGTCGGAACTATTTTAGGAGCGGCAGAAGATTCAGTTGAAAACAATTTGTATGATGTCAGCCGTTACTTTTTATAAAAGGTAATACAGATATGATAGTCTTGCTAACACGATTTTACAAATATCATCACTATATTATATTGAGATTAAGATAACTAGTTCTTGTTTCAACACCTAAAATCCTCTTTTCTTGCATTAGGAGTGATGTTATGTATTGAGGTACTAAATTTAAGTAGCTGTGCTTGTCTTTGTAGAGTGTGTATGTTATCAATAATTAATCTTTAAATTTTCGAAGGAAACTAGAATTAAACACTGCTTAAAAACAGAAACAAAACAACTCTATAAAGTTCAAAAGCTATTCCAATCGAACATTAAATAATAATTACTTGGACTTTTTCAATAATTCAAGTTCGACTGAACAATGATTCATCGGAGTTTCTGACCGTAGAAAACCTGACACGGCGATCTGATTCGTAGGATTTCTTGCCTGTTGATGCCATTGGAGTTGAATCTTTTTTTAAAAAATCCCTACATATCTTTATTATCGAACACAAAAGCAGAAGAAACCGGTAAATCGGCATGGTTGCTGAGACTTTTTTATCAACTCCAATGGCAGATTAAAGAAGAGATTCATTGCGGAGTCTCCAACATCATCATCGCGGTCGGGTATAAAGTTTGACGAAGCCCAAGATCCGCATTTGAATTTTTTCAGGGAGGCTGTAATCTTGATATCAAATTGTTCTCAATATCAATGGTTTCTCTCATTCTTCGACTGACTGGGTTCACTTTACCGAAGCCCCGTAGGAAAAAAGAAAAGGGCACCACATTTGAAGTCGATGCTCTTCCGGAAACAATAGTCTTTAACGTCGGGATCGGATATTAAACCGGTATGATCATGGAGGCAAAGATCACAGACTGACTTGTGATAAAGGACAGATGCCCAATATTATATTAGGGGTGAACTTATTAAATTTTAAGAAGAAAGAATTTATAAAATTTTAAGGATATAAAAGTTTAAAGAACGATTAATCTCTCATGATCATCTTTAACATCATGTTACAACTTGTCTCTCCAATGGATGAGGAGAATGATTCTCTCAATGATATTGGATAATTTTTTAAACTTTTTTTAAAAGAATTAAAAAAATTTATGTAAGAGTTTAACTGAGAATTTCAAAATTCTAGAAGAGTTAATGAAGATTTATAATAATTTTAAGGATTAAATTAAAATTATCCAGAAATTTAAAATTTCATAAGAAACTCTAACAAATTTGAAGGTTCTAACTAAAATTTTCTAAAAGTTTCAGCGGTGTATTTCAAATGTCAAAGCTCACATGACTCTTGTTAGGAAATAGATTGTTGCAAAATAAGACATTAGCAGTGACTGAAAAATATAAAATAAATAAACAATAAACAAATAGAACAATAAACCAATTTCTATTCATCCAACACATCATTATCTTCAAAATCTTATCCTATGTATTGAAATTAAGAATCTAACCAATTTTCCAACGTGTTCTAATTTCAATTCTAACACTTCATACTTCTTAATTAAGTTGAGGACAAGTCAATTTTAGTTTCAAATTCTATTTATCAACTCTTTTCTAAGATTTTATTTAGAAACCCCTTATCTTTAATCCCTCATATCTCCTTCATCTTTTGATTTTAAGATAACTTAAGTTTTCCTTAAACTTAAGTATCATCAAAGGATCATAAACCAAACTTAAATTCAACAACTAATCAACTTATAATGAAACTCACCTTTGCTATAATAGCTCACGGTTGAAGAAGAAGAAGAAGAGAAATTTCTGGAGAAATCTTCATTTTCCCTTTTTACTTATCTCCACATGTATGTATATCTCCTCCATATCTCATTTTTAATTCATTTCTAGATAAAATGACCATTTTGCCCTTTTTATCCATCATTCTTTACAATTCAACCCTACATAAAATTTTCATATAAGTCCCTAAACTATTCAATTTATCTACTTTAATCACTAAATTCTAAAGTTTTACAATTTAGTCACTAACCCGGTATTGAGGATGTTACAATTCATATCATTAGCTCGCATCATCCTATTTTGATACATCTGTCTATGGCAGATGACTTTCAATCTCTTCTCTTCGATAAGATTCAATTGATCAAACCGTGCTTGAGCCCATTCAGCTTCATCTAGATCTACTTCTCACAGAATTCAAAGTAATGGAATTTCAAATTCAATAGGTAAGACTGCTTCTATTCCATAAACTAAAGAGAAAGGCGTTGCTCCTGTAGATGTCGTTACCAAAGTCCGATAGGCATATAGGGTGAAGGTCAATTTCTCATGTCAATCTCTATAAGTTTCAGTGGTCTTTGTGACAATCTTCTTAATGTTCTTGTTTGATGCTTTCACTGCCCCATTTATCTTTGGATAGTACGTTGCCGAGTTGGCGTGTTTTATCTTGAACTGTGCACAAAGCTTATCCATCATCTTTTTGTTTAGATTAGTAGCATTATCTGAGATGATTCTCTCTAGCAACCCATATCAAAAAATTATCTTCTTTTTTATGAACTTACAAACTATAGACCTCGTGAGACTTGAGTAAAAAATAGGTTTTACCCACTTAGTGAAGTAATTTATGGCCACTAGGATGAAACAATTTCCATTTGAGGCTTTCGGTGTGATTGCCCCAATAACATCCATGCCCCACATAGAAAACGACTATAGTGCAGTCATCACACGCAAAGGTAATGGAGGTGCATGAATTTTGTCTGCATATATTTGATATTTATAGCATCTTCTCACATAATCAATGCAATTTTTCTGCATCGTGGTCCAATAGAACCCATATCTCATAATCTTCATTGACATAGAGAGATCATTTGCATATGTTCCACATATTCCACCATGCACTTCTTCTAAGATACTTTTTACTTCTTTGGCAGTCACACACCTCAACAGAACTTGATTACTGCCCCTTCTATATAGAATTTCTCCATCCAAGATATATCCTTCTGCCATTATTTGGATTGTCCTTTTGTCAATCTCGGATGCACATGAAGAGTATTCCTGGAACTTGATATACTACAGAATGTCATGGTACCGTGGATGACCATCTGCTTTATCTTCTATTTTATAACAATGTGTTGGAGTCTCAAGCACTTGCATTCTGATTGACGCCATATTAGCCTTCTTGTTTTCTTTAAACATTACAATTAACGTAGCCAAAATGTCATCCATTTGATGTCCTCACGAGGAAGGTAATTGAACGTGATTTCTTTAAATTATTTTATTAAATTGAGGATCAATTTTTTATATTCAATTAATTTTGAATCTTTTGTCTCCCATTCTCCTTGTAGTTGGTATACTACTAACGAGGAATCTCCATAGACTTTAAGTGTTTTGATTCTTCTTTCCATGGCTGTTTTTAATCCCATGACGCAAGCTTTGTACTATGCCATATTACTGGTGCAAAATAACTCTAGCCTACTTGTGAAAGGATAGTAGACATATTATGGAGAAATCAATATTGCATCGATTTCTTTCCCCAAAGCATTTGAAGCTCCATCAAAATAAAACTTCTAAGATTTATCATCTGACACATTCCCCTCTTTAGTTGAGATACACATCACAACCTCATCTGAAAAATTATAGTTCAAGGCTTCATAATCATCTGAGGCCCGACTTGCGAGAAAGTCTGCTATGGCGCTATTTTTTATTAGTTTTGACTGACATATACAATGTCAAACTTAGATAAAAACATTTTCCACCTAGCCAACCTCCCAGTTAAAGCTGGTGATTCCATAAAAAATTTTAATAGATCGAGCCTGGATATTAACCAAGTCGTGTGGTATAACATGTATTACCTGAGCCTTTTGGTAGCCCATACTAGTGTAAAACACAACTTTTGAATTGGCGGGTATCGACTTTCACAATCAGTGAATTTCTTGCTCAGGTAATAAATAGATCTTTCTTTCCTTCCAGATTCATCATGTTGCCCCAACACACATCCCATGGAATTCTCGAAGATCGTTAAATAGAGAATTAATAATTTATTTGGTACTGGTGCTACAAGGATCAGGGCATTAGATAAATACTTTTTAATGATTTCCAATGTTTCTTGGCATTTATCATTCTAACATTCAGGGTTGTTCTTTCTGAGCAATTTAAATACTGGATCACACTTGTCAGTTAATTGAGAGATGAATCGAGATATGTAATTTAACCTCCCAAGGAACCCTCGAACTTATTTTTGTGTCCAAGGTGGGGGAAGATCTTGAATTGCTTTCACTTTATTTGGGTCAATCTCGATTCCCCTTTGGCTTACTATGAATCCTAAGAGCTTTCATGATATTACCCCAAAAGTACATTTATCTAGATTAAGCTTCAGCTGATACTTTCTCATTCTTTGAAAGAGCTTTTGTAAATTTTGAATGTGCTCTTACTTAGTTCAGGATTTAGCAATCATGTCATCCACATAGACTTCAATTTCTTTATGCATCATATCATGGAAAAGAGTCATCATAGTCCTCTGGTAAGTTGCTCCAGCATTTTTCAATACAAACAACATTACTTTATAACAAAAAGTGCCCCACATGGTCACAAATGTTATTTTTCCATATCTTCAAGACTCATTTTTATTTGGTTATACCCTGAGAAACTATCCATGAAAGAAAACCATGAATGTCTTGCAGTGTTATCTACCAAAGTGTCTATATGAGGCAAAGGGAAATTATCTTTTGGGTTGGCTTTATTGAGGTCTCGATAGTCCACACACACGCAAACCTTTTCCATCTTCCTTTGGCATGGGGACTATATTAGCCACCCATTCTGGGCATTTGGTTACTTGAAGGAATCCTGCATCAATCTGTTTTGTTACTTATTTGTTCTTTAGTAATATTTCTGGCCTTATCCTTCTGAGTTTTTATTGAACTGGCTTACATTCAGGCCTGATAGGAAGCTTGTGTATTACTATATATGTACTCAACCATGGCATGTCTTGATAAGACCATGCAAAGATATCCTTGAACTCCTGGATCAAATATATCAACTTTTATGTAATTCCTGCAGATAGAGTAGTGCGAATCTTTACAGTCCTTTTTTGTTTCTTTGTCCCTAAATTCACAATCTCAATTTCTTCTATATGAGGCAAAATTTGCTTGTCTTCCTTTTCCACCAACCTTAGTAACTCGACAGGAACATCACATTCCTCCTCATCTTCGCACTCATTGACCTCTTTCATACACATAGGCCGCTCGAGATTTATCACATGATTGAGTTCAAGAATATTCATGCTATTAACATCGTGACATCTACGAACCAATATTTGAATCAAATATATACTTGTGTAGAGATAGAATGAATGTAAAGAAGGAATAATGTAAAATGATTGCCATTTGAGAAAATAAAAACATCTTTTATTCAAAGTTAAGTAGTTCTAACATAGTTGCCCTTACAAACTATCTCTTACTGCTCGTAGGCAAAAGCATAAGGCTTGTTTCTGGGTATTACTCAGAATTAGTCCTAAAAACTACAAGGAGGTCTATTGTAGTCTAGTACGTGAGCTTTTCACCCGAGAGGAAAGGGTGGATTCCATCCATATACTTTCTACCCTTGTTGTTCTCAGTGATCATGTTGATGATTAATCCCTCCATGGATTCATCAAACATAGCTTGGTCCTTCATTTGCTTACCTTCTCGGATAGCATTAACCAGTTGCAGTTCCACATTTTCCACTCCTCCAGACTTGAAAGTGTTTTTCAAATAGAGAATAGATACACGCTCTATTGGAAAGTATTCTCCTCTTAAATGAGCTTTTCTGACTTCACTCCTATTCTTCATCTCTTTGTTTCGCTATTGAAAATTGGGTTTAAATCCTTGCCCAAAGAAATCTCTTTTTATTTTAACAGCAATGGGGCGTAACATTCCTTGTAATCGTTTGCTAAATCTCCTTCCTACCTTTGCTCCTCTTCTCAAAGTCTGTCGCACTGTCATCTTAGGGAAATCAAATAGCTTGGGACGTAACATTTTACTCCCTTATGCAATAAAGGTTGCATTGACGAACTCTAATGCTCGAAAAGTGCATTCCAAAGCCTTTTCATTAATCTCTACGTACGAGGCATCAGTTGTCACTAACGTGATGATTTTTTGCTCGACACCCAGACTAACCAGTTATCCATCAATAACAAACTTCAATTTCTGATGTAGAGATGAAGGGATTGCCCCTGCTAAATGGATCCATGGTCTTCCCAGACAATTGTAAGTTGGATGAATATCTATCACCACAAATTTAACATTATAGACTGTGGGCCCTATTAATAATGACACCTCCATTTTTCCCTCACATCCTTTTGGGTTCCATCAAATGCCCTAATGACATTGTGATAAGCCTTCACAGGTAGTCTTTGTAGAGTAACAGGAGGCATCACGTTCAGAGCGGATCCATTGTCGATTAAGACCCCTTGCAAGACATGACCAGCAAAAAAATCGTGCTTGAATTGATTTGCTTTGTAGCTTTGGCACCAAGAAAGGATGGGGAACGTTGCTTTCAACATGGAAAAGAGTCCATCTTTGAACCCGGACTGCATGTTGAGGAATGGGACATTGTTCCTCCAGGAAACGGCTGTGCCGATGAGCTCTTGGATAAGCCCCGATGGTTTTGGGGTGTTGAGCACCCACTGGACCCTTTCCACACAGTCATGTCTCGCAGGGTCTGCCATTTCTTCTTCAACTGTTGTGGTTTCGTTCAGTGGGGAAGCCATTGGCCTTTTGTTTGAAGTGTTTGAGGTAACCCAAAAAAGCCTCTGTATTTTTCAGGAGTTGAACAGATTAGCTTTTAGTCTATAAGCATACTGAGACAGAGATTTATAGATGGCAAAATGAAAGGGATGATAGATCACTGGCCTATGACATTAGTGGAGAAAATTAGAGAGCCATTTCTAGATTAAAGTAGCATATATCTATTTATGTAATTCACGAATTATATGAAAAAAAAAACAAATGATTGGAAGGTTTGCAGCACTATATTTGGAGGGGAAGAACTGAAAAAGGCAGGCAAATGCAGTGGACAATATTGATGACACTGAAAGATACCATTTTCAAAAGTATTTCGCAACACAGAATATGTTCTTTCCGACCTTTTCAACAATTTTGACTCGGATAATTATATTTATTATTTAATTTTGCTTTATTTGTATGAACAGAAAATTTGAATATTTTTTATATTTCAAATATAAAATTCATTTCACGTATAATCTTTTTCAAAAATAAATATTTAATAAATAAGCAAATTTAATATCTCGAATTACTCTTATAATAAACAACTGAGTTATTGTTAAAAAAAAACTGAGCCAAAGTATTCATTTTATCAAAAGAAACAAAAATAGGTGAAAGTACTTGTTGGGTCCTTTTATTATAAGAACTGGATAAATTAATTCTTTTATTTCTAGATTAACCAATCTAGCTACTCTATTATAAATATTGATTCAAATTATTCTACTATTAAATGAATCAATTTAATTCTTGTAACAGTAAAAAGAATCCAATTTTATAAAGTTAACATTTTCTGTTTAAAAAGACAATCTTTTTTTTCACATAAAAATCCACTCCAAACAAAATTTTCATTTGCAAAACTTTGAAATCTTTAACAATATTAACTCATTTAATAGTAATTGATATTTTAGAAACAATAAATGTTAACCCTATAAAAGATTTGATCTTATTTGATTTACTAGCACATGAATTAAGTTGATTCATTTAATAAGAGATAGTACTATTTTTAACAAGTCCCTATAATAGAGGGACCTATTATGTACTTTCACCATTAACATTTTATTGATTGTGTCCGATTTCGAATTTTCTTCTAATAATTATCTATTTTATTGATTATGTCCCACCTTAAAATTTTGTTTGTGCTCATCCCGTACAAAAAATTTATATGATTAATATATATATATATATATATATATATAAATAATTTTATTTGTTAAAATAAATGATAATGTTTGTATAAATAATTTTATTTGTTAATATTTTTTTGGATTGTAATTTATTAATAACTGAAGTGTAATGATATGAATTGATTGAATGAAAGATTCGTGATTTGTTTAAACATTAAAGATTAAATTTAAGTATTTAAAATGGAGATTACCCCAAATCGAATCAGCTATGGAAACCAGCACTCTTTCTTTCAATTTATTTGCGTATGCTACTCACAGTTTACATCAACATTGCATTTTCTTTTGGCATTTTCTAGTCATTGGAACCCAACATGATGCGTGTACTGAGAGTATGCTTCCGACTGCATCGCGATCGGGGCTCTTGTAACCGATGCCGGAATATCAAATGCGTCGATAAGTTCCCCTGCAATGTTTCTCACTTGGAAACACAGGTATTCTGTAAGCTTGTGGATTGCCTGCATGGAGGAGAAACAAAAAGAGTTACACAAGTACACAGGACATGTGCTCTATATTTCTGGTTAAAACCATATACCTTAGCTTTGTTAGGAGCAACATAATCGACGTTACGGTAAGTTCCTATGTCGTTCCAGATCCGATCGAGAGCATAAAGATCGCATACAAGTTTTAGAGCAGCTTGACTACTTGCATCAGGACACCTGGAAGTTAAATTCAAGCTCAGTTACAAACTCAGAAAGAATGCACAAGTAGAAAATAAACGGAATAAATTCAGTTCAGAGTTTAGGAAGTACTTCTGTACAGCTTCAATAAACCTTGCGAGAATGACAGATTCAATGTGAGACTCGGCAAGCGTTATAAGGTGATTCAGGCATCTGTTCCAAGCACCAAAGCTGCCAAGAGTTTTCGAGTGCTTCTGGAGCCGTGCTGCTGCACTTTGAAGCAGTCTCGAGGTTCGGTACTGAATACCGATATCGTATGAATCTTAGTTTACGGTTTACACCGGCTAAACTCAAAGTACAATAGCTGATATAACACTTACCCTGAAGGCATCCAACTGGAATTTAGGGTCTCGTAAGTGATCGGTGTTTTCCCATCGAGCAATTATAGGGTTCGGCTGCGACAAGTATGTATTCATAGATTCTCTCAAGTAGTTCCATGTGACCGAAAGCTTACCGCCTTGGAACTTGTCTTTGTATTGCTTCAATAGATCCGCAGCTACCTAATCACAGTAAAAAGCCTCATGAAGTTTGAATTGAAAAGAAAATTCGAAGTTGGATTGAATGAAGGAAAACTGGAAAAAAGATCATTGCAAGTTTTCAAGCAAGGTTGTTATTAACGGGATTTGTCCGAAACCTGTTGCAGAAGTACTGTGTTGTCTCCTTCAAACGTCTGGAAAATGTCATGATCATTCCTCAAGCTGCCGAACCGATTGACAGCGGCATATCCGTGGCCTCCGCAGGCTTCCCTGCAGGTACTCAATGACTTTGCCGTATATGATGTTACGTAGGACTTCAGGCCTGCAGAAAGTGCATGGACGTCGGCAACAAGTTGTTCATCGTGCTTTTGCTTCATCTCTGAATATTTCTCCACCAAATTCTGAGCAGCGAAATGAAATGCATACGCTGAAGCCAGCATCGGCATAAGCTTGTGCTGCTGCGATTGATAATCGAGGATGCTGACTTCAGGCTGTTTCGGAGGACCGAATTGCTGGCGTAGTAACGAGTATCGAACCGCAATAGTGACTGAAATCTTGAGGAAACCAACTGAAGAATATGCAAGGCCAACCCTCCCACCTACAAGTTCACCCAGCATAGCAGCAAAACGTTTGTTTATAGTAGGGAGGCTACTTGTGTATTTTCCATTTCCAGAAACATCACCGAATCTATTAAGAAGATTATCTCTGGGGATTCGAACCGAACAGAATCGAAGAGCTCCATTATCAACCCCATTCAAGCCAATTTTGTGGCCGCAATCTTGGATTTCGATTCCAGGAAGCGTCTGGTGAGTTTTTAAATTCCTTATCGGGACAATGAAGGCATGGACTCCCATGTCGGAAACTTTTGTAGAGTCATGTGTCGGTAATATGAGCTTAGCGAAGACTGTCGCAAACTTACCGTGAACGGCAGCATTGCCAATCCACCATTTGATAGCCCCATCATTTGGTGTGTCAATGATGAATTCATCTGTAATTGGATCAAATGTTGCCGTCGTTTGAAGGCCTTGAACATTTGAACCTTTAAAATGCACAAAAAATTTACTGTCAAGTTTTCTAGACAAAATTAGGTGAAACAACCAGGATAACCGTCGAAAATTAAAATAAATAGGCAGTCGAAAACAGTCATCGAAACAGAGAACTTACCATGATGTAGTTCTGTCATGGCGAAACAACCAGGATAATCCACATCGTCGATTCCCTCAAAATACTTATCCCTGTGCTTCTTGGTTCCTAAGTTCAGCACTGAACCTCCCCAAAGACTGCATAATTTTCAGTATTCAAAGTCAACTCACCATTAAATCAAAACTAATAAATTAGTATTATGCATCGTTCAAAGGCTAACATCATGTTCTTTGCCATCCATAAAACCATATTTCAAAAATTCAACCAAAACAAGCCACCAAGATTGAATCTTGGATGCCAAAATAGCTTAAAATTACTTAAATGGACACCAAAATTGATCCCAAGAGGTGTATATCACCACTCCCAAAAAGGTTTAAATTCTGAAACTTAAAATCCATCCCAGATTTTGAAAAAACTTGATTAGCAGCCAAGATAGAACCTTTAATCCCAAAAGGGGGTTCAAACGCAAGTAAGAAATACCTAAACTGGACGCCGAGTTTGATCCCAAGAGATACATCAACACTCCCAACAGCTTCAGTAATGGCGAAATACTTGGCGGGATCGTCAACGACGTATCTAAAAGGCCTGATCTTTGCTATTCTAACTAACGCAACAAGCTGTCTCATGCAGAGCTCCCTGTGTTCATCCATCGAAATCCCAACAGGGGTTTGCAAATCGGGCCTTGACTCGAAAAACTCAACGATTTTCTCCTGTATTTCTCTGTTTTTTCCTCTCATGTAGCTCTGGATTGAGGCTTTGTCAACCTCGAGTTTATTGGCTGCCTTGGCGCATGTGAGCATGTGGAGCTGGGGTGACGGTTGGAGGGGAGCGAGCGGAGTCAGGTGAAGGGACAGCTGCTGGATACGGCGGTTCACGGCGGTGATGGATGGATGCGTTTCATCCTCGACGGCCTGATTTGGATCCATTTTCTTAAAAAAGAAGGGATTTTGGGCAGTGGCGGTTTGTATTGTTTACTTGGAGAAACGGAGGGGACTGGGTAATTTAAACATAAAAATCAGGGTGACGTGACATTTAATAACTGGCCAATGGCCACAAGGAAAGTCGTTACGTTGTCGCGGGAACTTGGAGGGAGTGGATAAGTGATGACGTGGCGGGTTTTGAGACTGAGTGGGGGATTTGAATGTTCATGCTTATCTTTATACACAGAGAATAGATAAAAAGCTTTCGGGCGGAGTAGGGGTTGGTTAGGCTCATTCATTGTCTCTGGTCGACTAGGCGTATTTAAAGGTGGTCCCAACGAGCCGCATGTCCTTTTACGTAAAAGTGTGATCTGATTCGAGACTTTGTTATTTAAACATCAGGTTATCATTAGTTTAAAGGTGGATGCCTACAATTTTTTTAATTTTGAAACGTGAAGTTGGCCATTGGATGATTATGAGTATGCATTTGAGGTGCAAATGAGAAAGCATTGCATTTGATGTTGGTTCTTGTAATGCCTCTGTTTGGATTGATCTGGTCTGTTCCAAAACTCGGACCAGCATCAAACAAAATCAGTCCAAATGCTGTTGGGCTCATCCATTGAGCTCCTCTAATGTGTTTATTAGCCAACTTCTTTACCTATTTGCGTTAGTACTAATTTAGTAGCTATTTTTCAAATTAATAATGATAATAATTTACTAGTTATTTTTTATATTGTTTTCAATATTTTTATTATTTTATATATTATTTCCATTTATTTGTTTTTATATTTTTATTATATGCTAATTTAGATTTTTACTATAATTTTTTAAAGCATGCATTTCATAAAAGTATTATTTCAATTGACACCCTAATTTTTTTTTCAATTTTCTTTTTTATATATGAATTATGTATATATAATATAAAATTAAGAGAATGATATTCCTTTTTTTTAAAAATAGATACCGTATATATTAAGGGTGTACATTCGTTTTATTCAGTCAACGATCGAACCAAATTTTTATTAATCGAATTAATTGAATTTTTTAACCATTAACCGAATCGAATTGAATAAAGTTCAATTAATTCGACCAATGACCAAATTAATCAAAATTTTTAATATATTTCTTATTTATATTAATTTAAATTTAATATAATTTTTTTTTATTTAGGTCAAAATTTAATTAGGTATTGATAATTTAATGGATCTAGTATGATTAAAAAATAGTTGGATTTTAATTCTTAACAGATTATATGTATTTAATATATATAATATTTAATAATTTTGGCTAATTTGATTAATTCAGTTAATTAAAAGATTTCGAACTGAATTAACAGTTAAATATTGAAAATAATTAACTATTTCCCCGATTGAACTAATCCAATGACCGGCCGTTTTAACCGAATTAATTCAACTCGATCAATAAATTCGATTAAAATAAAAAAATGAACACCCATAGTATGTATATTTAACATTAATTTATCGATTTTTAATATATGCATTAATTTATATCACTTTATTTAGATACTATAATTTAAAATTATAATACCGTATTATAAAAATCCTAACTCCACCCTACTCTCAAAACCACATATTTTTATAATCTTTATACTTTAAAATAAAATTATTTAGAGGGATCTTTAGTCCGATCCAACCACATTATTTATTTCGGAAACTTTAATTTATAATGGAGTTGTTTGTGAATAAGGTCAAGAGGAGATAATAAAATTAATTTCACGTTCTTTAAAGAATGGTTCTCATTTCACAACCCTAATATTCTTTGCAAAAATATGTAAACAATCATTCTCATTGCTTTGTTTATGCAAAGTTAAATTAAATTTAACTACCAAAAAAAAGTATCTTTTTAAATAATAGGTTCATCGACATTTTCACAAGGTGAGCCAACCTCTCCAAGTGAAAAGGGGTTTTATTTTTGGCTTAATACGAATAAATACAATGTAATATTTGTTCAAAGATAATTTTTTATTTTTTGACATTGAACGTTCACATCTCTGGTATCTATGATGCTCGAACCTAAGTATTCAGGAATACCAACAATTCTTTTACCTAAATCATCATTGACTTAAATAATAATAATAAAAATATGAATTATTTAAATAGATTCTTAATGATGTTTTATCGATGTATTAATAATACATAAAACATTATATTTCCATAAATCAAATGTTAACTCTTATTTATTTATTTTCCTTTGAATTTTCATCCATGACCTAGTCAAAAACTGTGGCTAAGAAACTTTTAATTTTTTTAAGTTTTATTTTTTTTGTTGGTTATACCAAATAAAAAAGTAAAGAAATAGGTGGAAACACTATACTTACTTTCCCCCTATCATTAAATCTATGTTACCTAACCATTTAGCGTAATAAATTTTTAAACAATACATAAAAGAATTTTTTTAAAAAAAAGTATTTGTATGGATTTTGAAAAATAACTTATATTTAATGCATTATGCTTTATATATATATTCGATTATGAGAAACTAACTAGTCACTACTAGGAATGGCAACGGGTCGAGTTCGAGGAGGATTTTGCTGCCCCGTCCTCGAACCTAAAATAAATCCCCGTCCCTGACCCCGACCCGATCCTTGACGGATATTTATCAGGGCGCCCCGTCGGGGATTTTTTTTGTCCCGTCCCTGAACCCGACCCCGAAAATATTTTATATATAATTAATATAAAATATATAAAATATTATATATATAATTAATATAAAAAATATAAAATATTATATATATATATATATAATCGGGGCGGGTCGGGGATACCTTGCCCCGAACCCGAACTCGACCCGAAAAAATCTCCGAAAAAAATTCCCGATACCCGACCTGATATCATTCAACCCGATCCGAACTTGACCAGGTTTTAGATTTCCCCATCGGATTCGGGTCATACGGCCATCCCTAATCACTACGTGAATGGTTAAAATGTGCGTGATTTTTTTTCAAGATTATAAAATAAATTATGTTTTTAATGCAAATAAAATTTGTTATCATTAATTTTAATATTTTAAAATAATTTTCTATTAAAATTTACGTGGATACTTAATTGAGTTAGCGTCATTCAATTAGATGACGTCAAACATGATAGGAGTGTTTATAATTTTATTAATGCATTATTTATATATTGAATAATGTAGTTTCATTACAAATATTGTAAACATGTTTATTTTTTTTTTTTGATAATTTAATTTTATTATCCAAAGAGGCAGAGTTCAATTCCATCCAATAAACAAAAGGATAACCTACTTACAACAAGAAAATGGTTAATCTATACCTCAATGATTACAAATATTAATGTTAACACTATCTAATCTATTTATATTATTTCCTCTTAATTGAATATCTACAATCTCCTTAATAGAATTCAGGATCTCATCAACATTTCTTGAACTTTCTCGGAACTGTCTTCTATTTATTTCCTCCCACAGGGAATAAATAAGTGCACGCCAAGCAAGCTTCAAGATAGTAGTTAGGAGGGACTTACCTTTTCAAGCACCGCAGGCCTAAGTTAACATGTTAACCCATGACAAAGGTGGTCTGCTCAAGCCGGTGAGATTCAGAATAGCCTTCCATAAGGAAATAACCAAAGAGCATTCAATGAATAGATGGACCCTAGTCTCCAGAACTTCATTTCAGATTATACATAATCCATCAGTAACGATTCGCATACATTGAAGCCTCTCCCTACTTGGGATTCTATCCAGAAGTGTCATCCAAGTAATCATGCTAAGTTTGGGGGTGTGGAGGGAAAACCATATCAATTTGTGCTGTGGAACTTTGTCTCCCTTTACCCCTTACTCTTCCCAAATTTCTTTTATCTTCTTAACTCCTGAAGATAAAACTGGAAGAGCCACTACCCTTAGTTTAAATAATCTCCTGATGCACCAGCTTAAATTTGCTCCTTCTTCCACGAGCCAAAAGTCATTATCCTTAATCATGTAGCTTTTGATCCAAGCTACCCACAGTGAACCCTCACCCGCAAAGATGTTTCTAATGAGTTGCATCATACACGTTTTGTTCCATGTTTTAATATCCTTTAATCTTAGCTTTCTTTCATATTTCGGTTGGCAAATATTCTCCTAGCTAACTCTAGCTCCAGTGGCGGCCTTATCAGTACATTTCCAGAAAAATCGAGAGCAAAGTTGCTCAATAATGTTAATAATAGACTGTGGCAGAATTAATTGCCTGCACCAGTAGTTAGCAACACTGAAAAGGAAAACTCTAACAAGTTCGAGTCTGCCTGCATAGCTCAAGTGCTTTCTTGACCAATGGTGAAGCATTGACTTAATCTTATCGATTAGAACCATACAGTCTTTTTCAGTGAGTTTCCTTGTTAATAAAGGAACCCATAAGTATATCACAGGCAAGCAACCATGTTTGAACCCCGTGTATTTTTTAATAGTCTCAAGATTTTTAAATGCGATTCCAACAGCATAAAATTCACATTTGGCAGCATTTAGTTTTAGACTAGACATTTCATAGAATTGATCCAAGACACTAATGACTCCATCAACATATTTGATATTTCCTTTACAAAAGATAAGTAGGTCATCCGCAAATGAATTGTGAGTAAGATCGATCTTCTTACATTTAGGGTGGTAACCGAACATACCTCTTGCAACAACTATATTAAGGATTATTGAAAGCACATTCATTGCAAGAACAAATAAGATAGGAGAAAGAGGGTCATCTTGTCTTATTCTCCTTGCACCCTTGAAGTAGCAAATCAAACTTCCATTGAAAGAAATTGGGTATTTAGTTTTTGAAAAACATGCTTCAATCCAACTAATGAAATTACTTGAAAGCTCTAAAGCCTTAAGGATAACAGAAATGAAACCCCAGTGAAGAGAGTCAAAAGCCTTTTGGAGATCAATTTTCAAGGCACACCTGGGAGAAATGGACTTCCTTCCATAACCTTTCACCAGTTCCTGAGCAAGGAGGGTGTTGTCTACAATACTCATTCCTTTTATAAAAGTTGACTGGTTAAGAGTTATTATCCATGAGAGCATATTTGTCAACCTTTTGACTAGGATCATTGTAATTGTCTTGTACACCACTGAGCAACAGAAAATTGGCTAAAAGTCTTTAACCTTGCTGGGATTAGGTACCTTAGGAACCAATGCAATGGTAGTATAATTGAAAACTGGCAGAATAGAAGTATCTTGAAAGAAATATTTAATAGCATCCACCACATCATCTCCAACCACATGCCAAGATTTTTTGAAAAAATAAGGAGTGAAACCGTCTGGACCAGGAGCTTTTTCATTAAATTGATTGAAGATGGCATCATGTATGTCCTCTCTAGTTACTTCCTTAACTAGGTCAGAAAAAGCTTCCAAAGGCAAGTTAATTTGTAGCAGTTCTTTCAGAAGACAAGGATCATAGTCTTTTACCCTAGAATCAGTAGTACCTAACAATCTTGAGAAAAAAATCAATCACTTCAGAGGCCATTTCATCAAAGGACTCAAGCTTTCTTCCTTGATCATTAGCAAGAACCCTAATAGTGTCCCTTTTGTTTTTAACATCAATAACAGAATGGAAAATTTTTGAGCATTTGTCATCCTCTTTTAACCACTGCACTTTAGCCTTTTGTTTTAAGAACATGACCTCTGCTTCTTCGATAGATATTAACTCATTTTGTAAAGTCAGCTCTTTTTCAATAGTGTCTTCTCCTCTTAAAGTTAAAAGTTGTTGTTGTTCCAACTCATTTTTCTTTTGCCGAGTTGAAATATCACTGTAACATTCTTTGTTTAAGCTCTTAAGGCAGGCTTTTAGGCGCTTTAGCTTTAGAAAAATGACCTTCATAGGGTTTCCCTGATTAGCCGATTGCCATGACTGCCTAACTTCATTTAAGAAATTAGGATGAAGAGTCCAGAAATTAAAAAAAATTGAAAGGCTTAGGTCGATTAGCTTGAACCTCTTTGTTTGGTTAAACCAGAGCCATACAATGATCTGAGGTGCCAGGCGCAAGGAATTCCACAAAAGAGTTTTGAAAAGAATTTACCCACATGGGGTTGATTAGCACCATGTCAAGTTTCCTTGCAAGGAAAGAGTCTTTCTATTTGTTGCTTCATGTAAAGGAAGGACCAAAGGAAGGATGATCTTGAAGTTGTAAGTCTTGAGTGACATCTTGGAATTCTTTCATGTTAGAAGTAGTGATTGGACCCATAAGCTCATAGTATGAGTTTTCATGTGAATGCAAGATAACATTGTAGTCCCCTCCTAGGATCCAAGGGAATGGGCCAAAATTAGTTTACAGGTCTCGTAGCTGCTGCCAGAGCTATCTTCTAATAATATCATCATTGCTGCCATAAATTGATGTACTGATAAGAGGAACACAATGATAAGAGCCTTTGACACACTGGGCTGAAACATGACATATAGAAATATCCAAACCTTTTTTTTTCTCGAAAGAATCCAAATCCTCCCATTTGAAGCAAATTCATAGTTAGAACAAACATTCCAGTTCGCAAATTTAGTCTTTAATAATTCCACTGATTTTTCAACTTTAACATGAATCTCCAACAAAAAGAGAAAGTCTACATTATTTTGGGTTGCCCTTTGCAGAACTTTTTCTTGATTTAGATGATTGTTTAATATTTTTTGATTTATAATTTAACTGGTTATTATTTTAATATATTGCTAAATTTAGAAAATAATATTGATAAAATTATTATATTTTTTCAAAACATATTTAAAAGAATTCTATACACAATATAAAAATAAAATAAATATTTTACTAAAAAGAAGTAATAAGTGGAACAAAAAAATGTAATTTTTATTTCTTTTAAATATAAAGCTAAAAAAATTAAAACCACATCTCAGATCTACAAGCAGCAGATTAGCCGAACCAAACAACTCTTTAATTCCCCTTTAGTCTCACAGAAAAAATTACAAAAAAGAATATTGAACTTTGATTTTCCATTTCTTTAGCCATTGATGATCCCTGAGCTTTTATACTCTTTTGTTCAAAGACAAAGCAAGCAAGCAAACCAGTGTCTTAGTTTTGCAGATTAGAGCTTTAAAGACGGCATATTTAGGGGTACTTTTTGATGATTCCAGAAGATCTTCCTCTCTTTTTTCTCTTTCGATCGTACTATTATTATAACCTCACGCTTTAGATTTGTGTTCTGTGTTGTCTTTGTTTCCTTCTAAAATGAGTCTTCAAGTATGCTAAAGTAAGCTAAAAATCTCTTGTCCGAAGCCATCTTTGTTCTTTTTTTTTTCTTCCCATGGGTTCCGATAATAGTGGTTTGCAATCTTCAAATGGTGGCAGCGAAGAGTATGATTCACACGTCGAGTCAATCTCAACTTTTTTAAATCATAGTCCATTGAGCCATATAGGACATAATCCTTTGGGTAACCAACCGCCGCCGCTGCCGGTGCTAAAGCAACCCCAGAGCAACTCTTCGTCGACTATGTTCGACCCTTTATCATACTTAGATCATCACCCTTTATCAAGATCGGTCCTTAATCTCGATACGATTTGGTCCAAAAATCTAAGATCTGAGCCAAATTACACCGATCTTAGTGGGTTCATGGCTGCCTCATCGGCGGCACCAACGACTCAACAGCTGTTCACCAACCAACAATCACAAAGTAGAGCCAGTTTTCCATTGTTGCAAGTCCCCCAAGGACCAGAAAGTTCGATCCAATACCCGGTTTCCGTTACAAATAGCCAACTAAACAACCAGAGCAGGACGATGCGTAATCGGAAGAAGAGAAACAGAGCTTCTAGGCGTGCACCAACAACTGTTATGACCACAGATACCACCAATTTCCGAGCCATGGTTCAAGAGTTCACCGGGATGCCCGAGCCACCCTTCACCTCCTCGCCTTTTGAAAGAGCCAGGCTCGATCTAACCCATTTCGACCCATTAACAGCTCCTCATTATCTTTTACGACCATTTGTTCAAAAACTCAGTCCTCCACCTCTTCTTATCTCATCAATGGCTGACGCTATAGCTTCTATTTCTAGAACTAACACCAACAGCAGCAACAACAACCCTAGTTCTAGTTCAACTTCCATTAACTACCAACTACCGTCCGAGTTCGGCCATTTCAAGCAGACTCAGAATCTACTCAACATCAACATGCAAAACCAGATTCTTAACTTTCAATCTCTCCTTCAAACCCCTCCAAAATACCCACTTTCCGGTTCAAACGAGTCCTTGGATGTTCCGTCCGAGTTGGGTTTGAGCCAAGGCCATGCCAATACCAGCCTCGCCGAGCTTCACAGCACGGTATCTTCACAGGAACATGATCAGAGTCTCCTACGTTCCATGAACGGGAAAGTGAGAAACTTGTCGTCGTCTCCGTCGGATTTTCACGGGGATAAAGGGCCGGAACACGTGGCTTCAAGAAGTGAAGGTATGGTGGAATCATGGATATGTTCATCAGATTAGGAGTATCTAAATAATTTCATCAAAGAAAATTTAAAAAAAAAAAAGGTTTTCAAAACTGAGAAAATTTGAACAAAAGATATCAAGGAAATGATGGTGAATATTTTTCACAATGATGCACGAAAGGGATGGAATCTTTCTTGTTTATAATTATTCCCATATTAACCATGAAATAGTTTAAAAGTTCAACCCTATTTTGTCTTCCTTTCTGATCTTTTAGGTTAAACCCTCTCCTTTTAATTTGATTATATGGATATGTAATTAATTCTCTCTCGATTTCATATTAGTTTTCTCATTGTTTTATCGTTTTCAACATACACCGATTAATATGACATTTCTTATTTAATTGCTGAAAAAATTTAGTCTGAATAAAATTTATCTAACGATTCTAAAAATATAATTTTTTTAATTTTATACTAAATGTAAGTGGATTTTATATATAATTTGGAGTTTAAAATTAATGGGTATTGTAAGAATCTGAATGTGAATGTGAATGTAAATCGAATAATGAAACCATGAAAATCTGTGCTCTTTGTCTGTATGAAAACCTTTTGGTTTCAGCTTATGTGAACTTTAGTTATCTGAAACAAGAAGGAAGACAAATTAAATCCTATTATATTTGTTCTAACATTTAACGGTAACAGAAATCTGATGACCTGCTTTATTTATACGAATATGTAATTAAATATAAAAATAATTAAAAAATATAAATCAAATTATTTTAATAATTAAAGAGATAATTATTATATATATTTACACGTTTATTTTTAAATAATTTTAAATATTTAAAATATTCACTATGGTTTATAATCCCTAGATTAATAAAAAAAAGAGATAATATTTTGAAATAATGTTCATATTTCTTTAAAAATTAATTTATATAATGGCTAGGAGGAGTAACTAGCGGCGAGATTTGGGGAATCGTTAGCCGCCGCAACATTAGTTTTAAATCCACATCAAATTTGTCCTTCCTCTTTGAGTTTGTGCTTCGTTAGTATATTATACTGTTTTTTAAATAATATTTTTAAGTAATATTTATAATTATAATTGTATAATATATGATCAAATAATTATTATAAAATATAATCGAACTAGATAAAATTAAAATTAAAATTAAATCTATAAAATGAAACTTATATTAAAAATTCTTGTATAATGTGATTGAACATAAAACATCAAGAATTCCATAACTTTAACGCTGCCATTGAATTAAGATTTATCCATTATTATATTATTATTTTTAGTTACAACTTATAACAATAATTTATACTTTAAATATGTTAATATAAAAATTTAAAACGATAAATTAAAATATATAGATATATTTTGATGTTAAACTATTTTTTTACTTTTGTTAGGTTGTCAACAGAGATTTATTTACGATTTTATAATAGGATAGTATACCCTATTTAAAGAAAACTGGCAATATAATATATTTATGATAATTTAGCATATTTGACGATTTTAAATAACTAAAAGAAAAATATATAATGTAGAAAGACAGTTTCTCGCCAAGGGGTTAGACATGCAATTCAAAGATGCAAGTAAATGGGAAAACTGTTTATGATGGTCACAAAGTGTGGGGAAAACATGATTGCATGAGCCGGAGTTATATCTCAAAAGTGGGTAATCTTTTTAATATAATTCTACAAACTTCCACACTAATGGTTTAAATTTTGAAGGATGAGAAACGGGTGTTTGGTTTTAATTTTTTCAAGTCCTTTTGAAAGATGTGATCGATTTTGTTGTCATCAATTGATAATTAAAGACAAAAAGGCACATCAAGTCCTCGAACTTAAAAAAAAATCAATATAGCCCTCATCATTTTCTTCGATCAATGTGACCCTCCAAATCTGAAAAATATCTTAATGTAGCCGTTTGACCAACGGATTCCGTCGTTGACCAACGAAACCATTATTTTCAGCTGATGTGGTACGTTAACTTGCCCAATTCACCCGTTTAGTGTTGACTGGACGCTTATTGTTTTAAAACTGAGCTAAGTTGGAAAAAAAATCTTTAAAAAAAGAATTACACACGTTTTTTTGTGTTTAAAAACCCTAAATTCATGTTTTCCTCTCTACTTTCCCAAAATTCATCTCACCTTATTGTGGTTTTGAAGAGCAACAACTTGCTTTCTTCTCCATCTTCATCCGTTCGACATCATAATGTAAGTTGTTCATCTCTAATCTATTGGACCTTCAATGTTAAAACACTCTTTCATCTCGAAATCTTGAATCGATTCTCCTCTCATCTTTTTTTCTTTTCTTGAATGAAACTTTTTTGTTTTCTTTTCTCGAATCTATTTGACCTTCAATGTTTTCCTCTCAAATCGAATTGAAAACTGTAAATGTTTATTTTTTTCATTTCTCGAAATATTTAAAATATTTTCAGTAGTGTTATAAACACTATGGCTAATTCGACTAGCTCGTCAACTGAAAGTAGTCTTGAAATTAATGTTCATTCGTCTTTTTTGTGAGAATATGATGGAAATGTTGTGTATTGTAAATGTGGATTGCAGTGCCCTATGTGGACAACTTGAAAAAGGAAAAATACATGTAGAAGTTTTTTTAGTTGCCCTAATTTCAATAGTGCAGATTGTACGTTCTTTAAATGGTGTGATAAAGAAATATCCGAAAGAGCAAAATTCCTGATTTACGAGCTGCGAAAAGAAAATGATCAGTTAAAAAATTGATACAATCTAATGATCATTTCTCAGTTCAAGAATTGAAGTTTCAGATGAATTCAATCCAAAAGCAATTGCATGCTGAAGTAAATCATGGTCATAAATTTAGGGGTAAGAGAAATTGGTATCATATTGGGATGATATTTTTTGGATACTTTCTGTAGTGGTAGTATAGGTGTGTATGGGTTAAATGTTTAAGATTTTAGGTTTATGGGTTAACATTAATCCATTGAGGTTTATTGTTTTTTGTTTAGTGATTTTTAGTTTGTTGGCTGATGTTTAATTTAGTAATAGAATGGATTAAAAATTATGACTACTTGTATTTGCAGTTTACTGTTATTAAAATATTTTGAATTATTCTAATATAGGTTGCAGTTAATTTAAAAGTGAAATGAGAAAAATGTTACAATTGCAATTAAAAAATATTGGCCTTGTCAATATATATATCTAGTAAAAGTTCACAACACACCTCAAAGTCAATTTCAATAGACATTATTTGTTTTGACAAACATATGAGTTTTATCAACCAACTTGTTACATACAAAAAAAGAGTACCTTGTTTTATACAAAATAAAAGACCAGCTTGTTTCATACAAAACATACCAAAAAAGAAAAAGTTAATACCAACAAATTCATTATGTCATTTGAATTTCAGGATGCTTTCGAGAGGCATCCGGATGTTCTTGCTCAACTTGCCTAGTAGTAAAAGCCTTCTTCACTTTCCAATTCAATCCAGGACCCCGCCATGTATGCTGAAATTACAAATTAGGAGCTCCAATCTTTTTTGGGCACTAGTAGGGGCAGTTAGAACCTTTCACTTGATAAACCAAGCTGCAAATAAATTTAACATATATGTTGACAGATCTCAACAACTGAATTTCCACAATTTCTCCCAAATAATTAACCAACTGCAATTTGATAGATATGTTCACATATTGCAACAAGTTAATTTCCACAATTTTAGAATTATACCAATATTTACCTCATTTCAAACTATAGAATTATACCAAATATTTCAGACAATTTGACAAGATAATTTCAACAATTTCAGACAAATAATTAACCAACTGCAGAATTATACTAAATATTTCAAACAATTATTCAATATAAAAAAATTCAAATTGACAGAAGAAGAAAAACATATGAAATACTCATATTAAGTATTTATTCACTAGTGTTCACATTGGTATAAATACCAATACCAATCTATCTTTTCCTTAGGCCTAGCACTATTCTCATTAGTAGAACTTGATGTGGTTGATTTCTTCGATGTGGTTGACTTCTTCGATTTGGCTGCATTTGTATTCACATGTAATTCCATAAAGTTAGCGGCTACAAAATCTAACCATAATTTCGAGTAAAAATTAAATAACATGTTTACCTGACCTGAAACATCATTGGTTATTTTTTGTGGACAACTTTGCTTGTTATGGCCCAATGTTTTACAATGACCACATCTCATTTTTAATCCGAATCTTGAGTACTTTTCAAATGTTAATTTTGTGGGCTCATCTTTATATTTTCTTATTTTTTTTCTTGGCCCAGGTTGGACCTTTACAATGGGAAGGTTAATTGGAATAAGATCTTTGGGCTAGAGTTTTTTTTCCTATCACGGGTTGTATGATATGTTTGTAACTTGCCATATACTTCTCCTTACTATACTATTCAGAAACATAATCTTCAAGTGGTTTGGACTCTTGATACATACATATGGCATGACAACATGGAATCCCATTGAGTTTCCATTCCCTACAAGTGCATTTTAACTTCTTTAAATCAACCACGTATTGGTTATCCAAATGTATAACCTCAAACCCTCCATCACTGTTCCAAATAAGCCTACATTGAGTTGAAATGTCCATGTTCCTTTCCAACTTCTCAAGAGCTCTTGGTGAGATGTTGGTTTTCCACTTTTCTGCCCAAGTTCTTTTAATGTCCATCTTAGTCATTACCATGACCCTAATATTCTCAAGCATGTTGATGATAGGCTTGCATCTTGCTTCCACTATCATTCCATTAAAAGCTTCGGCTATGTTATTGTCCACCACATCACATTTGCAAGTCCCTTTAAAGTAAACCTTTGACCAATGCTCCACCGAGGTCTCTAATAGGTCATTTGAAGACCCATGCTCCAAAGCTTCTAATTTTTTCAATTGTTCATCAAAGTCTTCTACAATAATTACTCTGACTGTGTTTTAGAATTGGACTTTTCTGTTTATCCATTTTCATTTCTCATGCCAAGATGTATAGATATGCCTTACATATATCATGTGCTCAACATCGGGGAATGATTCCCTTAGGACTAATATAAGACCCTGCAAAATAGTACAAAAATACATTAGTAGTCAA